ACATTTGACTATCACTGGTTCTGTATGTGCAGCAGGTTGTTCTGGCTTATATTGGTTCTCATGCCTTTACAGCCCTCTTCCTGGCAAAGTTCCCTGAGAAAACAGTGACCAACATGCTTCAGGCTTTGAACAACCTATCTAAACGGTCCAGACCCAACCGATACCCGGTTCCGAAGCTCTACAACCTATTCCTTGTACATGAAATCACTAAATTGCACCAAGCTGAGGCCATGGTGGTCAAGTATGATCACCTAGTTGTACAATTCATACACAATCTTCTAATTTGTTATATTCAGTGTTGTCAACCCAAGAATGTGTGCCTCTGATATTGGGTGCAATCACACTCTGAGTCCAATTGTGTTGTGAGTTCAATTTCTAAAGCTTGAGAGCCAGATGACATTCTGATGGTGCTTAGCTATCTCTACCACAATGTTGCTTGGCTGACATCCAAAGGCACTCTCAAGATGGTCTATGCAGTGCTCCACGATACTCCTGGGGCATACATTAGTGCAGGTGAAATTAGAAAGTGAGAGATTATCTTTTGTATTTTCTTCTGTCTGGATAAATTTTGTGTTGTGCCAGACCCTTGATGTGGAGTCACAGCAAGGAGGTGATACACACTCAGAAAAAGGCCTGGGATGATATGGCAGAGGTTTGGAGAGCAGTCGCTCTGGCATTCTTCATGCTTAGTATCCAACCATGGGCCCATTAAGTTATCTTTTGCATTTATGACACATACATTCTAATAGGTTTGTTCTATGAAAGCATATAACTACCCTGGAAGCCCCTGCAATGCCCTACAGCATTTGTCAGAGTAATTGATGAAGCCCATCTTCAAGGTGCTGCAGAACAAACATGAGGATGTTACAGAGACACCGAACATGAGGCTGTATTAGTGTTTCAGTCTTCAACTTGAATGACATGAGTTCATTCATCACAAACAATCCAGCAGGTGAAAGATAGAAGCATCTGTTTCCTTACTACGTTGCTGATAAAACCACACCATTCAGCCTCCAGCTTCAATGTTGAAGGCTGGCAGCAGGGAGGTTCATCCCCTAGGTCCATTGGAAAATTGTGATTGCATCTACAGCAATCTGATCAAGAACTGTCAAAGAACATCAGCAATTCAATATGATTATGAGGGTTACATGAAGTTGGGAAGACAAGTAACTTGAACAGCATCTCAATTTGCACATGACTCGAGTTTGCCTCAGAATCATTAAAACTATATGTATCATCATCCTACAATAATCCTGGACCATTGGAAATCAACCAGGAGGGTTTACCTATGATTTACTTCATCGTAGGAGGCGCAAAAACTACAAAAAGTAAATGGGCCTGACCGGGAATTGAACCCGAGGGCATGGGACTCGCTTATGACCCGAGGAGCGAACATGTTTGTCATCCACACGTGCAGGGGCCCCTGCTTTGCAGTCATAGAATGGTCTGATCAACCCCGTGATCGCTCTGGCGACACGTTGTCGCATGACGTCACCCAAACAAGTGTTTGTCATCCGCACGTGCCCGCCCGACATGATCCCGTGATCGCTCTTTGAGGGCTCTGCAGGGGCCCCATCCCCTTGAGTTGATCCCGTGATCGCTCTTTCTGAGGGGGGTCCCCATGGCACCTTGGCCCAGGCCACAGGCCTCAGCCCCTCAGGGCCACAAGCCCTCCATTATACCTTGTTAGGGTGTGTATTGTAGATTTCATGAAAAGTTGATGCAGGCAAAAAATTTGTGAGCAGTCTCAAGGCTTTTGGAAACGGCCGTAACCGGGGAACCAAAAGGGGTTCCAGTGTGCGATGCGCTCACGTGACAGCATCGCGTCGCGTCGCTTAATTGTCGAGCGTTTGTGGACTGTCACACCTGTGGCTGGTTCTGTCCCAACCCCCTCCTGGCCACCCCGTAGCTCAAGCGCCTCCACCCGCAGATGGGCCTTGGCGTTCAGTTCTGTCAGGTCCTCTTCACAATGACCAGGACGTTCCGAGCTTACGGCAGCCTATCGTCTGGATGATCTGTCTCTGCAGTGTTGCTCAAGCGCCTCCACCCACAGAAGGGCCTTGGCGTTTAGTTCTGTCAGGTCCTCTTCACAATGACCAGGACGTTCCGAGCTTCACTGCCGAGTAGACCACCCTTCACCATCTTGGGCCCACCCACCTCCCAAAACTAACCCTAACCCTAACCGGAAAGAAAAAAAGGCAGGACCCGAATAGGAAGTGGATGTTATCTCAGCCCTTGAAAAAAAAAAAGGTCAGATCAGGATGTGAATGCGAGACATAGACCTTGGTACCTGCCTACGTGCTAAAATAAACAGGTCAAGTAGTTGAACCTTCAGTGGACATCCCACATGGCAACTTGAGCTGAAGCGCTGTGAGGCACGAACAGCGCTACTTACAAGTCAAGTCTGTATACTCGCCGAGTCAGATGATCTCGGCGAGTGGCTGTGCGGTGTTTTCAGTCGACGACTTCAGAATCGCGGCGTACACGACGGACCGTCCGCACCTCTCTAGAATTTTTTGACCCACCCACCGTCCCCACAGACATATTTATTTACTTTACTAATTTATTTATTTAATTACTAACTTAGTGTGATGAGTCTAACTTGATTTACGGCTACAGGCATTCTCTGCTCCAGAGCCTTCAAGTTGACATTTGTGCTGTGGCAGAGGTTTGCTCTCAACAGCGAGCCCAAGGCTTCCACTCCCATCCATGTTGTTCCCGCTGACCATTAGCGAGGCGACGACAAACGTAACACCGTAGGCTGTAGCTCGGCATCGAAGCGGCGTACTGGCTGTTTACTATTATTATTATTATTATTATTAATGCTACGCATTTTATGGCCTGATGGTCTAGTAATATGATTCCTTGTTAGGGTCCGGTATCAGAAATGATCACGTGTGTCGGGCTTCATGGCTCTACAGGGGCACGTGCCAATACGCTATGGGTCACCCATCGCCAAACTTCAACAGTTCACCGACCGCGCGTGTTCTTGACCAAGCGCTTAAGGTATCCGCCAACCGCTTTCGTTGTGCTGCCCAAATGCCCCTCTCAGTGTTCTGCCATCCCAGCGCGCCCTTACCCAATGTCTCGTCGAAATACATACGGCCGCAAAACTCCGATATCTCATCGATCTCATCCTATACGAAAATGGAGACGTCCATCCTGTTGGACTTGAATTTTGCACAGAAGACATTACATACTTCCACCGTGGCTCTGAACATGTCCTGTCTCCATTGGCTGCATCTATCATGATCCACTCGAGACCGGACCGCAGGTGAGTCATAGATATTATTTTATTCATTGTTCAACATTAACGCGTTAACGTTTTAACATTCAACGTTGCAATGGTAGCTGGCGCCACGTGAGCTTGCAAACGGCTAGCATAAGTGATAGATAAGGTAGACGAATAACGGAGGAGTCACATCTTTTGATCTCATCACTTTCGTGACTCTTGAGTCTTCATTCTTTTCTGCTCGGTACGCTCACTGTCTGGAGCTTACCTCGCACATTTTTGGGGCTTTTTGAGGCCTCTCTATGTTCCATAGTCGTCCTGGCCAGCTCTCAGCTTCGTTTTGATACTCTTGGACCTCTCCGCTGCTGGGCGATGCATTTGCACTGCGACTGACGTCATAGTGTTACTGGAAGAAGAACAACACTTTAAGCCTTGAAAAACGGATTCAAAGCATGAACATGCACTGTAATCCTTACAGACTTCACAAGCTAAGTGTTGTTCTTCCAAATAATTCAATTTCTATCAATCTGGCCATATGTGCCTCATCTGCCATCTGTGCTCGTAAATACCGGCGCCTGTGTCCGGTATGTTACGCACTAGCGCTCGTCTGCCCATCTAGTGTCGTCCCGGGGCTTGCGTCCCGGTACGTCACGCACTAGCGCTCGTCTCCATCACTTGACTTGGGCTCATCTGCTCGGGTCTCCCATCACTTGACTCGGGCTCATCTGCTCGGGTCCCCATCATCGATTGGCAGCACAAATCGTGCCTGCTTCTCTATCTGTCGTCTTGTGCTCACACCCTACAAGGGGCACATGCACAAGAAATTTCTTTCGGCTCTCCCATTCCTTTTTCTCGTCATTTGGGCTGGGTGGGCCCATCATTTGAATCTGCTTTGATATTTGAGTTTATCTGGAACGACCGGCCTGTTTGCACCCATCTAAAATATCCATCTTCAGCTGCAGGCTGGTCGCAGTGCACTCTTGCTAAATCAGTGATTCAGAGAGTTGTTATTGGAATTTCTCTTCCATTCAGCTTGATATTTCAGTCAAATTTAATCGGCTGGGTTCGTTTTTACGAGCCGTCGAGGGAGGGAGAGCCTCCTTTTATTCTTCTCCGCATCGCTCCTGTTGGGGTTTCGGTCGTGGAAGATTCGCCCTTCAGCGAGCTTTGCTCTTTGGAGCTATGCTCCGGGTTTGGGGTTCTTGGGCTTCATCTTTTCCTCCCGAAGTCTTTGAGCTCCTCGTGTTCCGAAATTGACTCTTCTTGTTCCAGAACTTCAAGATTCCAATCCGCTCCGAGCGTCTCCGTCGCAACCTTCCACGTTGTCGGCTGAGCCTCCGTTCTGGACAAGAGACGCGAAGCAATGGCGAGAACGAAACAGCCATTGCTTCGCGGGTCGTCAATTTCTTGACAAACCCAGTTCTCAACAATCTTTACCTCACCGTCACTCTCGCTCTGACTTTCTCTGCGTTGTGTATATACCTATCTATATGATCTTATGTTATCCTCATGATAGTACTACCTTATCCAGGCATTACCCCGTGTGGTCGTTCAACGTTCAACGTTCACCCACACCCCAGTTGTAGAATGCCATACCGTGCGGACACCGACATACTTTACATGTACAATTACTTCGGTAGCCTTCGTTGTTCTATTGCACTTCATAATATAACCAACCGTATGAGCCAAAAGCTGAAAATAGTAAATATATGAAAAGCTCGACCGCAATTTGATGCCGAGATCAAACTCGGTCCACTCCAATTAATGTGGCCTGGTGGTCTAGTAGTATGATACCTTGTTAGGGTGTATTGACTTTCGAGGTGGCCCCGGGTTCAATTCCCGGCCAGGCCCACATTTACCTTTTTATATTTTTAATATAACCTTCTTTCGTCATCTGTTTTATTTCTTCTTTTGCCTTACGTAAGCAGAAGCTTATATAAGCGCCCTAACAAGGAATCATACTACTAGACCATCAGGCCAATGAAAAGATAATATTTTCAATTATCATAGCAATAAAAAGGCTTCAGGCTACTATTACTGCGTTAAATCTGGCCTGCTGTGCCCGCTCCAGGCTGCCGACGCTCACGTTACCATCCAACAATTCATTAACCCTCCAAACCTCGTGTTTACGAGTCATAAATTCGCGAAAGCACTACAATGAAGACATCCTATTATTATCTGCCCATTCTGGATTTTTTCTGGGGGGATCCATTGACTCTTGGAGCAGAAGTCACTTCCTCCGGAAAAAAAACCTTTCCACATCAAAGACGTTTTGCAGAAGGTCTGGACTGGGCTCATCCTGAAAAGGCCTACCAAAAGCAGTAATCCTTAGAGCCATCCATCAGTACTCGGAACGAATAAAAAGTTTTGACCAGTGTCAAGGTTTTCGGTAAGCTTCGGGCCAATGGCACATCTACTAACTCATATTACCGTCTCAAAGAGCAATTATGCCGCAGCAGCATCGGAACCCGAAGGCCCCCCCGTGCAACAACCATATGTTCCTTACTTCCTCTTCCTTGAGTAGTGTTGCCGCGGTCCGGTTCGGGTCCGGTTCTCACCCAAATTTCCCGAATCTCGAACCGGACCATCGGTTCGGTTCAATGAAATCGCTGAACCTTGAACCGAACCCCAGGTTCAGGTTCAGCGGGGTCCGGTTCAGGTTCAGGGGAGTTCGAACTGGTTCGAACCGATTTTCCTCCTCCCACGGTAAGTCATGCCTCCTGGGTATAATAACGACACCTACAACCAGCGTACACATTTCCCACGACTATTTGGCCTTACCAAGGCCTTCCCGTCGCATTCTCTATGTAATATCAAAGTAAATTCCATCATGATTCATGCATGCACCTGTTATTGTCTGAGTCCTTAGTCATACCAAATATAAGTTTTTTAGAAACATACGCCCGTTAGGGATTTTCTACCTACCATTCTCAATAAGAGTATTAGGTGGTGGTAAGTGCTCTGATAAGTATGCCTCGGTTCAATTACATCAAATTTTACTCTGCAGTGAATGATCCTCTTTGACAGGATAGACTATTATCCCAAACGCTCCCAAAGGAAAATGGAGCTGCCTCTTTTAACATCCGTGTTCCCTATCATTCACTGGTTGAACATTTCAAAATTTTCACCTTCTTTTTCAGTGAAAAATGTCGTTTATTTTTCACACATTTTTCACTGAAAAAGCAGGTGAAAATTTCAAAACATTTTCATCACTTTCTTATTTTATTTCGAAATTTTCACCTTGAATCGAGAAAGTGCTGAAAAAGTTTTAAAATTTTCACCTTCTTTTTCAGTGAAAAATGTCTGAAAAATAAACAACATTTTTCACTGAAAAAGAAGGTGAAAAAATTGAAATGCTCAACCAGTGATTCAATTCAACAGCAGTGTCGCTGGTTTCTCAAACTCATACATCAAGAGAAAAAATTGGCGCAATAAAAATAGGTATGATGTGTGACTGTAATTGCACAGGAAACATTGCAGTACATTAGGGGCAGTCAGAGTAGACGATTAAGCTGTGATTAAGCATTTTGATTCTGGATTTATTTGAGCGTGGGAGAATCAAGTTAATTGTGAATCATCGAGGATCATTGAAGCAGCTCTGGAGGCGATTCAAAGATGATTCTGATTATGGTCCTTTATTATGGCCTTAGGGCTGATTGTCGCTTAATCGTCTGTCTCCATAATCAGCTCAGAATCAGATTTATTTCCGGGGCGGTCAGGGTAGGCTTTGATTATGCCACGATTCTGAGTGATTATGAGCATTTCAAAAATGCATAATCATGGCTTAATCACATCCATAATCACTGCTTAATCGTCTACTCTGACTGCCCCTATTGCTTCCTCAGAGTACAACTTGAACCTCAATACCTACCGGAACTTTACAGCTGATAATAAATGTAGTCTCACCCCTTTGCATACAAAAATGACAGTGAAAACTAATGTTTTCTCTTGTCACTGGTCCAAGTGAGGTTCGAACCGGTTCGAACCGGTCCAGGCAGGTTCAAAGAAGTTCGAAATTTATTGAACCTTGAACCGGACCCCGGGTTCAGTTCGGTGAACCACACAGCCACTGAACCTGAACCCAGGTCCGGTTCAGGTTCAGTTCAGGTTCACAATCGGTTCTGAAGCGAACTGCGGCAACACTATGGACCTTGAGACCCATAGTATCAGCCTTGTCTCGTCTCATCCATCACCGCCGATTGAGGTCCACTGGACACTATGCTGCATACTTCCCTATCAAAAACAGACACTGGTGAATTGCATGTCCATCGGCCTTACAACCGCTGTGCAATTTCAGAGTGGCAGGTGAGCAGCCTCCTGAATCCACATAGGCAACTTGACAGGGATGAACAACTTTGAATGCGACTCAAAAATGAGGATTGACATGCACCCTGACATGCTGATGTACTGGGACATAATCAGACATATATGAGGCTCTCTTTCATGCTTGATGCTGCATGCCATGCCACCCTGGGGATCTTCGCGGAGATTACTCAGGTGATCAAGTGGTTGAAGGCAGATAGTGCCCATAGCACGCATCTGACGCAATGTGTGTAGTACGGAACCCGACTGTTTCTCGATGGGACCGCGTCGGAATACCTATCTACCTACCTCAGAGCCATCCGCAATCCATCTATATCCGCTTGACCGAGGTCACGAGTCAACAGGACCTGCAAACATTACTGACGTGACGACGAACCGCCGCGTGAGACTTCCATCTCGTCTGTCTGTCCGTCTGTCCAATAAACTCGCGACCCCTTTTTGCCGAGCCCCGAGTCGGGATCCGTAAAGTTACCTGGGCCCATGGGTTCCGAAAAGAATGCGCATGTCGTTGGTTAAGCAGCGGCTACTGGATGCTGCTGAGTGAGCATGAGTGGGAGGCCGAGGACAAGACATATGCAGAGTGCCATGAACCTTGCGGTTGTAGTCTTCCTTGCGTAAGATGTCATGAATCGACCATTGGATGAGGCTGTTAAGTATGGAAGGTGGCGTGAAATGGAAACAGTTGGGATAGTTGCCTCTGAACGCGAACTTTCGAACTCGAAATTAAATCACAGTGGATTAAAAGGGGTTAGAGCGGATTCAGATTGGATTCACGCACGTCATACGCCAAGAGCCAAGACTCCACCTCCTTACTTAAAGACCCCTCTACCAGAGAATTCCCTTACACCACCTCCCCCCAATCCACCGCCATGGACTTTATAAAGAAATTCACCGAAAACAAGGGACAAGAGTCCGGCAACACGCAGGGGGGCCATGGACAGCAGGGAGGAGGGCCAATGGATAAAATCAACGGCGCGATGGGCGGGGGAGCATCCGGAGAGGCTAAAGAAGGTATATTCGTTCGGTTTTTTCGAAATCTTTGCAGCGCTGACGGGGCACCTCACAGACTACCTTGACAAAGGTTCGTAACAAGGTTCGGAGCGAGAGAAGTTGAACCTAGTTGTCTAACGTTGACCGCTTAGGGGTCGATTTTGTGCAAGAACGCATGGGAGGCGGCGACCAGAGCAACGAGAGCGCGGTCGAGCAGGCGAAAGACGAGCAGATCTCGGATGCCATTCGCAAGCAGTATAAAAAGTGAGGACCACCGATTGTCCGCGCTTCTATTGTGACCTCGACATACTTCCAGTGCAACCGGATCGGATATCCCTATCAAAGACAAGAATTAACTTGAGGACACTTGTAAATTAGCGAAGAATCCACCGACACTGTAATGCAACGACGAACTCAGTTGATCGTAACTGAGGCACAAAGGACCTTAAGAATCCATACACGTAGCTCCGAGAGGTTGCTGAATGCCATGCCGACCTTGACTCCACCGCACTCGCCGCTCATTTCGCGACCACATATTTTGGAAACGAGCCAAGGAGCATCAGTTGACAGATACTTGTGTCTGATTGGCTAAGCAACAAACAATGACATACGTACGCCTCATCCGATCATGCCTCCATCTGCATTTCAAAAGGCAGATCACTGAGATCAGAACTCGTTCCTTCGGACTTCCTGCAAACGCGTCGAGCTTCGGATCCTAACAAGGAAGTGTCGATGAAAGGAGCAGGATATAGCTGCTAAGAGGCGGAGGTTACAACCGTGACATCGACACAAATTTCCAAGCAGGTCCAATTTCCAAAGCAGCTCTCGAGTCGCCCCCGCTCGGTGATCAAACTCGAGAGTCCATAGGACCTGCAAGCGTCATGGCTCCATTCCCATGACATTCCGGTCGACCGTCGCATGAGAGTCGAGACTTCCATCTCGTCTGTCCTTCCGAGTCTGGAGTCGCATTGAACTTGCCAAGCTCTGAGTCGAGATCCGACAAGTCACCCTGAGCTACCCCGGGCCAGGCATGATCATCTACTGCCGCCCCAATTGCAACGCCTTAGCGGACTCAAATTTGCGACTGTGCGACAAGCTCTTCCCTACATTACCGGACTTGCCGCGCAACGCTCTCACTCTCAACTTCGAGCCGTTCCCATTTTTCCTTCGAACAGGAGTCCGTGCAGTGAGAGGCTGCCCGCTGTGGAGTTGCAAGTTCTCGCTTCCATTATTGGACCTTTTCGGTTCAATTCGGGTTTGAAGTGAACGTCCACACTATGAGGACACGAGCCTCTTCGATGGAGTACGACAGCGGCCCGAACGCTACTCAAGTTGTGCCTCTCTTCGATGTCCTCTTTGGTGGCGTCCGGGCCACGAAAGCCATACATAGCCTTATTGAACCCCGAGACCAGTCTGTTCTCGGTAAAGGCCCATAGTTCACGTGTTCCGGGTTGGTTCCGAGTTTCAATTCACGGTAACTCGAAGAAGTCGCCGCCAAATCGCCGCTCATTGTACGGCTCTGTCGGGTCTAAAGTCAA